TAAACACAGGGCATCCAGCCTAGGCTTTGTTCCTCACCAAGATTAATTGTGACACAAGGTACCTCCTGACCTTTAAAAGGGAAGAAATAGGGCAAATGTTAAGTCCCTATATTCTAGAGGCAATTCTTACACGAGGTGAAAGGTTGTCAACTTTTCTTAAAAGGGAAAGTTCAAGTTCATCCCACTGTTTTGTAGATAGCCACAGCTCAGAAAAACCAAATGGTTTTTCTTCTCAGCACATGTAGATAGTTCAGGGTTTTCCTTGTTCCTCATGTTGATTCCACAAGCTATCCCTTTCCAAAGTTTTTTCAGTACAACCTTTAATTTATTATCATTTGAACACACTGATAGACCTATGTCCCTTGTCATAAAAAGATTTCCATCTGATAAAAGGCTTTAAACACATCTCCGTCTCTACTCTCACATTCCAATGTGAACTCCTACGCCCAAAACATTTCTAAAATTGCCAGAGGCACAAGCCTTCCTTAGATAAAACCACTAGATTTTCAGCATCCTCTTGCAATCTGTGACACAGAGACGGTCTTACACAGATCACAAAAGCCAATCTACGGAACTGGCTACACACACAAAGCCCATCTGGGCACCCACAAGAGTGGGCAGAATGATATCAGAAAATGCTGTTTCCCATAAAAGAACACTGGGCTGCATCATCTTTTCCAAATAAGCATTCCCTTAAAATAATTCATTTTGCTGTAGCATTTGCAATATTTTCTTTGATGTTTAACCAAATAACCCCCAAATTCATAATAAATTTGAGACTTCCATCAGCCTCCTTCCTCCACTTTATGTCCCTCATCCAGGAAAGATGATAGAGCATCTAATCACACCAACCTTAAAAACAGTACATAATACTTTATTAAAAACATGTACGTATTACTCCCAGTCTCTCAGGTAAAATATTAAACCTGTTCAAAAGACATATTTTTGTTTAGTCCCTAAATGCTTCAAATTGGAGGGAATTAACTTGTTGCAGGGTCTTGTAGTAAAGCAAAGGGCAAGAGGAACCAGCACTGAGAATCTAAGCTGGGATGAAATGTGCAAGAGTACAGATGTGCTTTCTTTCTGCAGCCCTGAATATACTTTAAACTCAAAGAAAGACATTAATTAAAAGGGTAGCATGCTGCCAAGAAGAAATATATTTGCTGTGTGTGGATTAATTTATAAAGGAGATGTAATCCTAGTAAATATATAAGAAATAAAAATCCATTTAAATAAAATATCTTTTGAATTTTACCAAGGAAGGTGACTCTACAAAACAATGGGGACCAAATCACACAGTGCCTGGTAATGGCAGCCAGCCAAATTCAGAGACAAATCTACATGAAAGAAGCCTGAATCAGTAGAATTTATACCTTTATTCTCCATACCTTGACGTGCAATTGAAAACAACATCAACTGAGATTTTAATTGGTTCAAGATGAATTTAGCAGCCAGCACTGAGTTACAAGGAGTGTGAAAATTAGAGTAATTCTGAAGGTGTCTAAATTGGTAACAAATATGAAACTAAAAGACACAAATCATCCTTTAGTTAAGATACTTAAATGCTTTTAAACTCTCTTCTAACAGTGAGCATAGTGATTTATTAGTGCCTTTTATTCTGTTTGAATCTGACCCTTTAACTGGACTTTGACACATTCACCAATGAACATATCCCAGCAGCTTCCTTTATTCCAGTTATTCCCTTCAAAAGCAGTTCATGGAGCTTCAGCAAAGGAAGTGTTAGAGCCAAGCGTAACAGATTGTAAGTGCCCCACATCAGAATAAAACATAATAGAAATGATTTGTTAGAGCAGCGCAGATTTTAGTGGAAGTTTCCCAGACACGTAAGTGCTACAAATGATCCGGTTCCTAACCGACTATTTTGGATGTTTCTTGAGGGAAGATGAGTCTGAGGGGATGTAATAGGATCTCAATAGCTACAATCAAATTTCTTAACATTAATGAGGTTACAAACATACACACAAATACTTGAAATTATACATAAAAAAACCCAAAAAAACCACTGAGTTACTTGGGAGCAGGTAGAAGGCTTTCTTATGTTTTCTTTTAGGCCTAAATTTAGTTCTGTTTGTTAAATTTAACCAAATAGGAAATTCAATGCCTTTCAAGGCAGAAGGCTAATGTATATAATGCATATTTATGTGACTCTAAATATGCATAAATACTTGTACTAACTCCCAGGTTATATTTGGTTGAGTTTCTCAATCGAGAGAGATATTTAAAAAGACAATATGAACTTGACAAAAATCAAACTAACAGTACATCTTATATAATTTTACCAGTAAGTTACTCATATAAAAGGAAAAACCACACAAGTTAACAATTATTAACAACTTGTTAATACAAGCAATTTTGGGAGTAGGGGAACACAAATACAATATTTGTGGTAGGTTTTTACATATTGCAAAATTATTAAGATCATAACATTTTTAAGGTAAAACACACGCAAACAACCAATGTGGCAAAACAACAACAACAGCATAACTCTTTAGTCTTGTTGTTACTTCATGTTCTCATGTTTCATGCAGTTTGATTTCATCTGCTGGCAGGTTCCTGCGGAAAAAAAAGAAATCTGGCCCACTATGGACCCATTATTAAAAAGAAGGAACTATCTATTTATCCAACTCCTTTTCTTATCTGGCATAATGTCACTAGGGCAGTAATAATAGAGAAGTTTGGAACATGTTTTCTCCAAAAAACAAATAAACTCAGAGCATGCTGGAGTTCTTTTTTACTTCTCAGCATCTTTATTTGCTCTGGGGTGGCCAAGGCTCAGGGGGAAAACACACTCTTACTTTTTCTGTGGGAATCTGAAGTCTCAGACTTTCTAAGTGGGTGATAGTACTTGTCTGAGTCTGGTCCCCTGTGGTGACATCAGCAATCTGGGCAATCAGTTCAGCTTTGTTATGTACAGCAGCTGTTTGTGAGACAGTGTCAGCATCGAGGTAACTCACTGGTAGCTGCCACTGCCCATTAGGTTTATGGACAGACCATACTGTCCGTGGTGAGTGTATAGGGACAACTACTCCTTGCTCCTGTAATTCTGCAATTTCTGGGGTAATTTTTTCACGTGTTTCTAAAGGGAGTGGGTGGGGGTTTACATTTGTTATTTTAGAAGGAGGCAGACTTGGAGCAGTTTGCAACAGACGGACAGAGGGGGATGGGAGACCAAACACCCATTCTCTCCCTCTGGCGTCTGTCCAGGCCTTCCCCTTTAGCAGATCTAACCCCAGGATGTTAGCTGGTAATGGCCCCACAATCATGATAGTTTCTGTGGCTGTCTCATCTCCAGGTAACCAGCATTTCACCCGAGCAGTGTACTGGGGTCGGGATTTGCCAAAAGCATCAGTTACCCATATCTTTTTTTTGTCTGATTTAATGCCACACTGCGTAGCAGCTTCAGTTTGGAGTGCTGAGACCTGTGCACCCGTGTCTACCACGAATGTAACCAAAGATTTAAAAGGGCCAAGAGGAAAAGTGATTACCAAATCTCCCTGGTTGTTTTCTGTAAGCTTTCTCTCATAAACCCACTGGCTATTTTTGGGCTTATTTACTTGAGAGCAGTAAGTCCAGTTCCTTGACTCAGAACTGGTCAAACTGGTTAGTCCGGTTTCTGGAGAGGCTGAGGGGATCACAGTGTTGGACTCCTTAGAGGGGCTGCCCTTAGGGGGTGCCTTGTGCTCTTTGATCTTATCCCAGAGCTGTATCAAGTATTCCAAATTAGAAGTGGGTAATTTATCCATCACTTCTCCAGGAATTCCTTTTGCAACACCTTCTCTCCACAGACTGTATCTCTTTCTCCCGCTAGATGACACATTTTGTTGACAAATACCTGGCGAGGCAGGTTTTTGGACTTTCCCTGCCCTCCTGCAGTGTATTCTCTGGCCACTGGTACCAGAGAGCCCCAGCTGCTGACCAGTAGCTATTAATTCTTGGGCTATTCCCAACCAGGTTATTCCTGATGGAGCACCCCTTCTTCTAGGTCTGGGAGTTGCCTTTATGTGCTCCTGTAATTGTTTAGCATAAACTTTTAGTGCATCAGGCAGGCCTCGAATTAAAACTGGAAATCTCTGTGGATCTGCCTCAAGTTCCATTGGGGAATTTCGTTGTGGGTCTAATAATTTTGTATGCATTAATTGGAGACATGGTTTTTTGTACACTTTTTACAATGTGGCCAATTGTGGGTGTTTTAATCGTGTGAGGATCTCCCCTTTCTATAGGGTCTAACCCGCCTGCCCAGGCAGCTCTTTGGGTCAGGGACCACGGTGCTCGGTTATCATTTGTGGTCAGGAAAACCCCTGGGCCCCAAAATCCTCTGACCTCACCTTCACTCAATAAAATTCGGTCTCCCCCAGTAAGGGACACCCTCCACACATATTCAGTCTCTGATTCACTGGCCTTATTGTTGCCCGTAACCAAAAGAAACACAAACCAACAGAGTGCCGGTTTATGCGGTGCTTTATTCGGGGCCCCGGGAACCTGAGGACTAGCGTCCAAAGTCAGGATTCCGAAGACCCTCATTTTCAGTTCAGCTTTTATACTCAAACAAGTTTACGTGCAGTTTCCACGACAAAACAGTTACAGTTTCCACAGCAAACCAGGTGCAGTTACAAACAAGCTCATGCTCCATACTGATAACAATTAATAATCATCTACTCTAATCATAAATCTGCTTAAGTTGTCTTACCCCTAGAAACTGTTTAACAGACCCTTACTTCATCTTAGGTAACAAATTACTATATCCTAGGTAACAAATCATTATATACATGCTTGACTAGATCCTTTGATTATGGTTTCCACTTTTTTCAGCACATAAACAAGGTTGCTAACTTACTTCTTTGGAGTGTTGCTTTTCTAGGCCTACTCTCCTACTAAGCCTTAGCCATTCTACTACTAAAATTTAAATTGCTTTGCAACATGTCCCCCCTTTTGAGCATTCTTCAGGCTTTGCTTGCAAGGATGCTCAAACACAGCAATCTTCAGGTTGCAGTTTCCTGACAGGCAGGAGGTGGTCCATCTTGCGATGAGATTACTTCTTTTCTTGTTATAGCTTTCATGATGCGTCTCGTATGTTGACCTTCTTTTACAATCATTCCTAAAAGACACTTGTAAACAATTATAGCTATCACAATAATCACTACAATCAATATTCCATACTGGATAACAGAAGATATCCATCCTGACACATGAAGACCTAGGGAGCTGAATAATTGTCCTATCCAATTGTGTTCTGCTTCTTTTTGCAGTTCATGAACATTCTCGTCAATTTGTTCTAATTGACTAATATCTTTTTCTACTTCCTGAGTGACATTTGGGATGTGCACACAACAATACTCGTTCTTAGCATGCAGGTAGCCGCAAACTCCATGTTCCTTAAGTAATATTAGGTCTAATGCCATGCGGTTTTGTATGGTCATTCTAGAGGTGGCTTGTAATTGTAAATTTAGATCTTTAAATCCCTTCTTGGTGACTGCTGCTAACCTTTCAGTTTGTCCCATTAATTTAAACAACATTTCTCTGTTCCGGTATGTTGAGATTGGTGCAAACAGAGACTCTAATGCCCATCTAAATTTAACTCCTGTTGATGGTTCATGCCAATCTCCCAACTCCAGGTCATCAATGTCTTTACTAATTTCTCTTTTCCCTCGTGGTTGTATTTCTACTGATGTTAACTTATCCCGCTTCCAGAATGGACAGAGAGTAGGTATCCCTAGTGTGACAGGTACAACTGGACCATCTATTGGCATGTGGGTGGTCCACTGGCCATGTCCCATGACCCACACTAAATTTCCTGGGCTCTTAACTGTGGTGGTACGGCAATCAATATTTTTCACAGATCCCTTAATCATATGGTTATATCCTCGACATTCACATCCTAACTGCAAAAGTGTTTTGACTGGCATTAAGCCTATTTCATCGTCTGGGGTATCACATGTATATACTCGAGTACAATTCCAATTCTCTTTTGCACGTGTTTCTGTCCTCCAATTATGATTTCCTCTATTGCCTGTAGAATAAGTTTGATTCTTTTTCCTTTTCCAGTGAATACACCACTGTACTTTTCCAATATAACTATAAGTCTCTAATAAGCTGGGTCCCCAAATTGTTTGCCATTCATCTATGGTTGTAGAGCTAGTAATATTTTGACATACTTGTTCTTGTTTTTCTCGTTTTATTTGAGCCGGGACTTTAGAACATGGGTATATTACTGAATCTGTAACTAAACAAGATCCTTTTAATTTGTCAATGTTTTCGCTTGTTACCCATGTTCCAACTACTACCCATCGGAAAAATCCAGGTACTTGTTCACATTGTTTCTTAGTCATTTCGTTTTTGAGTAGACATGCATCTATCATTTCATTCCATGTTTTGGTCACAAATCTGCAATTCCACGTAGTATTCTTAAATACTTTAGGAATTTCTGGTACTGGAATTATTCCCCATGGGATTGGGTCTCCTGCAGCATGAGGCATAGGGAGACATGCAGTAATTTTTGTGACATTCTGTACTCTCCCAAAATCACGAATTAGGCCTATGACTAGGTTTTCTTGTTCCACTTCTCTATCTGGAATTTGCGGGTTACTTACTTGCCGGGTTATTCTTTCAGCTCTTATGTAGACGGCAGTAATTCCAGTATCCCACCAGTCATCTTTACTTATCCAGCAAGTATATTGGCCCTCATCTTCTCTTCTTTGTATTTCTTTGATTTTCAAAACTATTGCGTCTGCTCTCTTTCCAATCTGATGTCTCTTCCCAACTTTCAAGTTCTGTCCCTTAAACCACCACCCATATTCAGAATACTGTCCTTCTGGAATTTTGCAACTTAGAATCAGATCTCTTCCTTCCTGAGCTGGGTAAACACTGTGTTCTGGTCTGAGTCTTACTCCTTGATGTGGTACGGCTACTACTGTTCTTATCCCATAATCTTTTTCTTCTCCACATGAGACCACACAAAGAAATGTACCTTCTGTCTTTCCTACTCTGGGATTAGAAATATTCAGCCACCCTTTACTTCCCTTACTATTTGACCACCAGTTAACTCCTTGACTTTGTGATTCCCAAGATTGATTTGCCAGATTCAGTTTCCACCACTTTACTTTAATTGATTTTTGACAATCATCAAATTGGAAGGTACAATTGATTTTTAAAGGAGGACCATCCCACATGTCTGATTGTTTCCTGGTGGGTATAACTCGCACTGTGGTCACCGTTTTCTGAGTCGTGTTTACTGTCCGTATTTCTATATGTCCATAATCAAAACTTTCCCAAATCCAAACTACACACATATATGTCCCTTCCATGGCTTTAGACACTTTGGGTACCTGCAGAACGGTGTAACCTTTTTGTTGTGTAGCATCCCAAACTGTTGTCACTCCTTCTGTCATGGTTTTATCTTGATCTCTCCATCTCCACTTGACGTTAACATCCCTTAATTCAGCTCCCTGGTCATCAGAAAACAAACAGGTTAAATTTACATCAGTAACTTCGGGGACTAGCAGGTAAGGGTCAGGGGTTTCAATTTTCACAAAGGTCTCTGCCAAACTTATCAACCCCAGGAACACCACGATTCTCAATTGTTGGCTTGGAATACCATCCTTGTGGGTGAGAGAGGTTCTACCGACCACGAGACTGGAACCTTCTTGACCCGAGTATAATGGATCCAGCTGTCGATTCCTTCGACTTTTACTGCGGTGTAGGTCGTCATTATCACCTGGCGAGGACCGTCCCATGTTTCTTTCAGCGGCTCCACCGACCAGTTTCTCACGTAGACATGATCTCCCGGAGAAATGTCGTGCACTGGATTCTCCAGGGGCAAAGGTCGATTCCACTGCAACGCTCCTCTGAGGGCTGTGAGAGTCTTATTTAAAGATAACACATAATTAAACACTGCTTGATCACCTACTATATGAGGATCCCTTTGGTAGGTAGCTGCATGATAAGGTTTGCCATAATATTTCATATGGACTTACTCCTATCCTCTCTCTTGGTTTGATCCTAATTCTCAACAGGGCAATGGATAATGCTTGGGGCCACGGAATCTTTGCTTCCTGACAGATTTTCTTCAATTGACCTTTCAATGTCTGATTCATCCTTTCAACTTGTCCACTAGACTGTGGTCTCCATGGTGTATGGAGATTCCATGTTATCCCTAATACAACCGACACATCTTGTACTATCCCTGCTATAAAGTGCGGTCCTCGATCAGAGGACAACCCTAGGGGAACTCCAAATCTTGGGATGATTTCTCTCAAGAGAGTTTTTACCACTTCCTTTGCTTGATTAGTCCTACAGGGAAAAGCCTCAGGCCATCCTGAAAAGGTGCAGACATATACTAACAAATACTTATAGGATTGGGCCTTAGGCAACTCAGAAAAATCTACTTGCCAGTAATCTCCCGGTAACTGACCTATCTGTAATTTTCCCATCTGCACCTGCTTCCTGACTACTGGGTTATTCTTTATGCACATAGGACACATTGCATTTACCCTTTTTGCCAGTGTTAACATCTGGTTTGAGAGAACCTCATTTTTCAAAAATTTTACCAATGCTTCTGCACCCCAGTGGCACTTATTGTGTTCTGTTTCAAGCACTGCTTTCATTATTCTGACAGGTAGAATCACTTGTCCTATGGGGGAAATGTACCACCCTTTAACATTTTTCCTTGCATTTGTCATTTGAGCTAATTTCTCATCTTCCTGTGAATAATGTGGTTTTTCTTCCATATATGCTATTGCTGGATTATTTCGAACAGGCAAAAGAACCATCTGAGTCCATACTTCTCTTGCGGCCTGCTTAGCCGCTTGATCAGCCTGTCGATTACCTCGAAATTCTCGTCCGGGATCTCTCTGATGTCCTTTAACATGCATTATTGCCACTGCTGAGGGCTTGTGTATTGCCTCTAGCAATTGTAAAATTTCTTCCCGATGTTTAATCGTTGTCCCTTGAGAAGTAAGAAGTCCTCTCTCTTTCCAGAGTGCTCCGTGAACATGAACTACCCCAAAAGCATATTTGGAGTCAGTCCATATGTTAACTCTCTTTCCTTGGCTTAATATTAAAGCTCTCACCAATGCCCATATTTCGGCCTTTTGTGCAGACGTACCTGGGGGTAGTGCATTTGCTTCTATCACTTCTTGTTCAGTGACCACTGCATACCCAGCATACCTGGTGCCGTTCTCCACAAAGCTAGATCCGTCAGTGAACAATTCCCAGTCAGGATCTGTCAATGGCTCGTCCTTCAAGTCTCTTCTGCTCGCGTAGACTTGTTCAATGGTCTCTACACAGTCATGCTCCAGGATACCTTCTTCCTGTGTAGACCTAAGGAATTCTGCTGGGTTGAGATGGTTAGTGATTTTCAGTTCAACATCATCTTGCTCTCTTAACAAAGCCTGATACTGTAACATGCGGCTAGATGAGAGCCAATGCCCCCCTTTTTGTTCCAAAACTGCTATGACCATGTGGGGTACGTACACTACCATGTGTTTTCCCAGAGTCAATTTTCGTGCTTCCTGTATTAAAGTAACCGTCGCTGCCACAGCTCTGAGACACCCTGGCCATCCCCCACTTACTGCGTCTAGCCGTTTGGAGAAATATCCAACCGGTCTTTTCCAGGATCCTAGACGCTGAGTGAGGACTCCTAAAGCCATTCGTTGTCTCTCGCAGACATAGAGCTGAAACTCCTTGGTTGGGTCCGGCAGTCCCAGGGCAGGTGCTTCCTGGAGGGCTCTTTTCAATTCCTGGAACGCTTTCTCTTGCTTCGTCCCCCAGGTCAGCTTGGGCTCCTTTACTGCTTCATATAAAGGTCTGGCAGTTAGTCCAAAGTTGGGGATCCACAGTCTGCACCATCCGACCATTCCTAAAAAAAGATCTCAGTTCCTGATTATTTCGGGGCATAGGGATAGCACATATTGCTTGAACCCTATTTGTTCCTAAGCGCCGGGTTCCTTGGGAGATTTCACATCCCAGATAAATAACTTTCTGTTTTACTAGTTGTGCTTTTTCTTTTGAGACTCGATAGCCTGCTTGCCCCAGCATGTTTAACAGTTCAATGGTTAATTGACGGCAGAGTCTCTGCTCTGTATTTCTCAAAAAGATGTCATCAACATATTGAAGTATTATATATGAAAAAAAGAGATTCTTTTACCTGAGTAGTCTTCCATTCTTCAAGTTCCTTTGCTAACTGATTACCAAATATCGTGGGTGAGCATTTGAATCCTTGTGGTAATCGAGTCCAAGTAAGCTGTCGCTTCCGTCCAGTCTCTGGGTTCTCTCATTCAAAGGCAAAGATTTTCCAACTTTCCCGTGCCAGTGGTATGCAGAAGAAGGCATCCTTTAGATCAATCACTGTAAACCACTGAAATCTCTCAGAAACAGATGTTAACAAGGTGTAAGGGTTGGCTACAACTGGGTGGATATCTTTTGTGATGAGGTTTACTGCTCTAAAGTCTTGCACTAACCTATACTTACCATTTTGCTTTTTATCGGAAAAATGGGAGTATTAAACTCTGACTCACATTCTTTTAATATCCCTAAAATTAAAAATTATGTGATCATAGGAGCTATTCCTTTCCTGGCTTCTAAACTAATTGGGTATTGTCGCACTCTAACGGGTTGTGCTCCTTCTTTCTCTTAAAGAAAACAAGTAAATATCTTCACTAGCTTCTAACTATATATCGGCATAAAAACTCTCCTCTGGGCAAAAGGGTTTTTATTGCTAACATACCAAGTTAAAAGTTCACAGACCCAATTCTTAAAAGTACCATATATGGGCCAGTAAGTATTATTTCCTATTCTTCTACCTCCCCACACTTCAATACAATACTTAATCATTTTCTCCTTTGATCTTCTATAAGTGCTGGAATAACAACTCCGGTTCTCTAAGAGGTTCCCCAAGGGACTTTCAGGGGGAATCCTCAGCGTCCTAGCCTCAAAGTCACCTTTTACTAATCTTCTTATCAGAGGGCTATTTGTAATCTCTCTCTGAGGTTCCTCTTTTTTTTTTTTACTACTTTTAACTTCATTCAGAGGTTCCTCTTTTAACTTCTCTAAAAAGGCTGAAAGAGATTCTCCCCTATTCCGTCCCACCGAGCACAGCCCTGACCAGTCCAGCGTCCCTGGTATCTCACTTTGCACTCCCTCCACCAACAATTCTCGGTAAATTCTCAACTTTCTACAATCTCCAGACACATTTGGATCCCACCCGGGATCCTCCCGCGGCACAAAATCATCCACTGTTCCCCCCGCCGCCCGGGGCAGAGTTCGCATTCTTTCTTTCGCTCTTTCCACCATCACTCTTAATACCATTTCTTTTTCAGTTGAATCCAGAATTGTATCTAACAATACCTGTAAATCATTCCAGTCCGGATTTTGAGTTTTTCTAACCATTTTTATAATACAAGTCACCTGCTCCGGATTTTCTCTGTATGACCCAGCTGACTGTTTCCAAATTAATATATCATTAGGTAAAAAAAGAAACTTTCATCATGACTTTTCCCCCGTCCGCTCCAACTGCTTCCCGCGAAGGGGCCATTAATCTCGGGGGTGAAAGCGAAACTTCCCTCAACTTTCCCCCCCCGCCGTCTTTCTCTACTCCTCCCTCGTTCTCTTCGTGCTCTCCGCGTTCGTTCAGCTAAAGGAGTTCTATCAAAATCACATTCTCCCTTTTCTCTTTTCTTCCTCATCCGAGGACGATTCTAGCGGGGGCATGGTGGGTGATTGTGCCCTCACACGTGAAGGGAGACTATCTCTCGAGGGCGCACCTGGAGTTATGCTGGGGGAGACTAACAAAGACACATCCTCCTCTGGTTCTGAAAACCGTATTTTCCGTTCTTGACATCCTATGCATTTATCATCTAATTCTTTCAAAATCAACATATCACATTCTTTTTGCCATTCAGTCTTATGTTTTAAATAATAAAACAAGTCTAGATATGGTATTTCATCCCATATTTCATTCTCCCGTAAATATTGCATCAAGGGGGTTATAATTTCCGGAGTCAATGAACCATTCCTAGGCCACTGCATTCCTTCTGTCTCATACTGAGGCCATACATTATTACAATAATCAATCAATTGTTTCTTGCTTAACTCTTGTCCGAAATTTCTTTCCTTCCAATGTTTTAACAAGCAACCAAGCGGAGAATCGCTAGGGATATCATTTTCTGCACAAGATAGTGCCTTAAAGGTTTTAAACGGCATCATACTGACTCACACACACACACACACACACACCCACACACACACACACACCACAGTCTGAATTCAAAATCAAATTCACAACAGCACAACAATATAAACCAATACGTTTTACGACCAGCGCAATAACACAACGATATAAACCAATTACATATTCCAAAACCAAAACCAAAACCAACTCGCCAATTCTCCCTCTGAGTGGCGAGTGCTGGTACAGCGCGGCTTTCGCTACGTCTTACGACCAGCGCCTAGGCTTCCCAACCGAGGTACCTTTAGCCCAACCCAGCGGGTAACTCACAGTCCCGTCTTATAGGCAGGCTCCCAACCAACAAACCTAAAGGAATAAAGCACCTCCGGGCTTACCTGGATGGGTTGTCCGGCGGGTGCGGGGTCGGGCATGGGTCGATGTCTCCCCAGAAATCACCTGGTTGCCGGCGTGGAGTAGATAAGCTCGTGAGCTGCACCAGCTACCCCCGGAGTCCCACACCTGGTGTCGCCAGAAAACTGTTGCCCGTAACCAAAAGAAACACAAACCAACAGAGTGCCGGTTTATGCGGTGCTTTATTCGGGGCCCCGGGAACCTGAGGACTAGCGTCCAAAGTCAGGATTCCGAAGACCCTTATTTTCAGTTCAGCTTTTATACACAAACAAGTTTACGTGCAGTTTCCACGGCAAAACAGTTACAGTTTCCACAGCAAACCAGGTGCAGTTACAAACAAGCTCATGCTCCATACTGATAACAATTAATAATCATCTACTCTAATCATAAATCTGCTTAAGTTGTCTTACCTCTAGAAACTGTTTAACAGACCCTTACTTCATCTTAGGTAACAAATTACTATATCCTAGGTAACAAATCATTATATACATGCTTGACTAGATCCTTTGATTATGGTTTCCACTTTTTTCAGCACATAAACAAGGTTGCTAACTTACTTCTTTGGAGTGTTGCTTTTCTAGGCCTACTCTCCTACTAAGCCTTAGCCATTCTACTACTAAAATTTAAATTGCTTTGCAACATTATGGCTATATTTCTCCTGAATTCTGACCAGTGCTTCCCCCGTGTACGGGGTAATTCGTGTGGTAGTTTGCCAATCTGCCCCCTGGCCAGTGGTTTCAGTTTTAATGAGGGGATGCAGATGTATTACCTTGTCCTCTGGATAACTTTGTTTAAGCTCTTCCAAAAGAGGGGTACAGAGATTTGTTAACATCCACCGGTCTAGGGTATTTTAAATTGATATCTCGTGATTCACAATTTTTCATTTCTAGTACCCTTTTCAGCCTTTCATTTTGTTCCTCCTCATCTTGCAGGGCTGACCAAAGCAACAAGTTTATCTCTCTCTCAGCAGTTAACTGCAAGCGTTCCTTTCCTAATTGCTCCTGTAATGCCTTCACTGACTCCTGAAGAGATCTTATCACCTCACCAGTAGATTTTTGAATAGCCTCTTTTTCTAGCTGGTCTTGCAAAGCTCTCACTGACTCTTGGAAAGATTTTATCACCTCATTTAGAGATTTCTGAATAACCAGTCTTTCCTTTCGCACTGTTCTAAGGACAATGCCCAAAACAGCAACTACCAGAAACAGTCCTAAATCAAGGACAAACATCAGGAGGGAATAACCCCCATATAACTCAACCAGGGGTGCCATCCCCTTTGCCTCAATCATTAACCCAGCTCAGGTTAATGTCTTTCTCCCCCTTAACCCTCTGAGGGTCAGCTTGACTCTCCCCTGGAAAACCTTTCAACAGGTCCAGGCACCAGAGAACCTTTCAACAGGTCCAGGCCACACCAGGAAACCTTTCAACAGGTCCGATGTGCTTGGGTCACACCGAGAGGAGAAAAATTCTTACTATAATTTTACAGCGAGGGGATAGTCACCATTTGACTTGCCCTCGGTACCAGTTTTAGACTACACCAATTACTCCACCACATCCAAAGGATCCTGCTGACTACGCCAAAAATGTTACGACCCGCCCCAGGAAAAGGGGAGAGGGGGTAACTCAGGTTTTTATCAATAATTCCCTTGGGATGGATTAAAGTGAAACGACACTAAATAATCGGTGTCTAAAAACATACTGGCAAGGTTTATTTTAACAATTCTTTATCAACAGGCATGCTAGCAGTTTGGGTGCTGTCATACAACAATGTGACACAGAGATAACCTTTGGGGGGGAAAGAAAATGCATAGGGGAGAGAAAGGCAGGATAAGAGCAAGGGAGAGTAAGAGAAAGAAAAGCTGAGAGTGGACAGATGTATATATAGTCACCGCCCACGGGGTCCAGCGATGCTTCCATGTCTGTCAGTTGAAGTGGTGGCCTTGATCTGCTGGGGGTGAAGGAGGGAAGCCCCCATACTCCAAGAAGTTATGAGTTATATCCATGGTTAGTGTAATGGGCCATACCTCGAGCCTCCAACATCTCCTAGGTCTGTGTGCTGAGTTTTTTTGTGTCTCGCCTGGTTCCCGCCTTTCAAGATTAGCAGAGGGAGGGAGGGGCCTGATTGCTCAGCAGATGTATCAACAGTCAAAAGCCTGCAAGCTCAGCTCTTGCCTTTTCAGGGCTTCACACCTTCAGCACTGGAGGGAGGGAGGGGCCCGACTGCTCATCAGAGGTATCATGCAAGTTAAAAGCCTGCAAAAGTCTCCTAGAATGCCTAAATCATTAACCATTTCAGTCTCTGACAGAGTCCTTGCGAAATACTGCAGAGGGAGTTTGAAGCCTGGGAGTTTTTTTGAAGTGAACCTTTGATTACACGGACTTTGCTGCAAGAGCGGGGCAAAGAGAGAATAAAAAGATTAATTTCAGGTGAGTCCTCAGTGGCCCACCACCTGTACCTCACACACCAAGGGTAAGGACTTCTTTTCCTGGGGGAAAGGGTTGCTCTTAGCTTGCAGGAGCGCTGCGCTGAAATTGCTAGTCTGACTTCCAAAATGGAATACGGACAAAGATTCCTCCCAGAAAAAAAGTGGCCAGGACAGAAAGCTCTTGCTGCCCATGGAGTGCCCAGGCTGGCCCAACACCTGTATTCTAGAATATATGACTTATTCTTTATTATTATGTGAGATACCAAAGGAAAGAAAAACATTTCATCACGTTCTTATAAACCTTGAAAATAAATTTCTGTATCTAATTGCCTTTCTTAATTAGACAAATGGCTACTGTTGTAACATGGTCTGTACTGGACCCTGCTAAGGATGTACTTTTGCCCAGCCCCCTTGCTCTAGATGTTCCAGCTACACCAAAGAAAACAAGAGATAATCTCATCAAAGTCAAAAATCAGCTATTATGGCAATTGACACTCTATGGGATTTAGCACTGGAGCTGAATCTCTGTGGGATCTCTGGTACAGAACAGTGTATTTAATGAATGGTGCTGTTGCTGAACTTCCCTGGGCAAGTTGCAATTGCCTACTGAGGCTGCAAATGTAGTCTAAGGATTTTTATCTTTTGAAACTACAGGTGGAATTTTAGGGATAAATTGCAGTATTCTGAAACTGGAAAGTTGATAAAATAGAAAAAAGTGTTTCTTCCTACAAGAGATTTGAAATAGTTCACTTAGGAAAAATAGACTTGTAAAACTCACAAAGCTCGAAACCTGCTCAGCATACCTGATTCCTCATCTCCACTGATCATCAGGAACTGGACTCTCTCCTATTTTAGGGTCTCATCTGTGTACACTGGATTAAGGCCTCATAACTTAGAAAAGTAACATTATAAACTCACATTTCTGGAAAGGTTTCCTTAGCAGATGGGTTTAAAAGCAAAACTTTGTTGCCATAACCAATGAATGCAGAGCAGTGCTATAGAGCCAAAGGTTATTTCTGTTGCTAGCTTTGCTACACTCTCAAATAACTTTTGTCCAGATCAGTGCTGGCAATAAGAATTCCAGGTTAACACTTGTTTCATTTTTCAGGTTTTGCATTTCAAGAATGGTGAGTTTTTATTGGAAACTCTGAAATGGCTGTAAATAACAGCGTCAGAATAGAGTTTTTCGTATTTCTGAGTGTCTCAGTCTGAGGAGACTGGAATGTTTGCTAAAGAGGATGAGTTGTAAGACAGACCAAACTCCTCTCTCTCAGCAATTGCAAATTCAAGATTAAGGGGGCTTTAATCGAGGAAGTATGGCAAAAAAACCAGAAGAAATAACCCTTTATTAAAAGATATATGTATGTTGGCAAAAACAGTAACAGAACACACAAAAAAACTAGATGGTAATCCTAGAAAAAAAAAAGTCTGAATGAATACTTCTCTGTCCTTCAGCGCAGGCCTAATCGTGGCCTGCAGGGGGCGCTGTTGGATCGCTGGAGGTGCAGGGCCTGCAGTTCTCTGTCGTGGCCTGCAGGGGGCGCTGTTGGGCTCCGGCGGTCAACACGCGGGGAGAGGGGTCGGGGGGGGGGGGGCGGTCCTGGACCGCGGGAGAAGCGAAGAAGGAAATGGGGGACTCTTCCCTCAGTGGGGGAAAAAGGGAAGTGAAGCAGTCCACTTCCATGGGACTCACCGCTGTCCTAGGTGACGGTGTCTCAAAACTCTTCCCTTCTCTCCCACGGGCACGTAACTCTCCGATGAAACAGAGCAGATCCGGGGAGCAGGACAACCAGGCAAGTCGAAGCCAGCAGTCCGAGCTGACCAGGATGAGAAGCCAAAAAACCAGATCCCAGTCCCTCTCCCCAAATGCCTGCACACAGACCCCCATCTCCCTACCAGAGCCAACTCCGCCACCTGCCCCACTCCCCTCCAAACAGAGCCAGCCACCTCCCAGCCTCCCTGATGGCCCATTAGCAAGGAATGTATTTTGGCTGGCTACATCTTTTGTAATGCTAATGACCTCCCTTCCCCCTTCCCTATTCGAAACTCTGTTTCTCTTACAGGGAAGCAGGGAAAGAAAAAATTCCTCTCTCAGATTTATAACCTATAACACTGAGGGACAATTTTCAAACCTAGCTTTGAGTAAGCAAATAGTTGAATGACTTGTTGTAAAATTGTAAATAAAAATCAATGCATTTCCTCTGATTAGTGTCTTAACTTATATTTGGCTAAACAGTTCTTTTATTGTTGCCTTCTTTAAAAAATAACCTATAAGCAGAAAAGTGATCTCATAAAGTGTTGCAACCTTTGAAGTCCACTTGTTGCCACAGAACAAAAGCACACCAATATCATATCTGAAGATACAGAATCTTATATAGATACATACAAATATACATATATATGTATATATACAAATACATACAAGAAAGTTTGTAGTTCCTGATGAGAGTTCTACACGGGTAATGAACAGAGGACTGGTTTCATGTGTCATACAACTGTGGTGACCAGGAACATATGCTCTGAGCTTCGATTTATTGTCCTCGTTTGTAACTGCCTACCTTCCCTTTGGGGGGAACACAGGCATGGTCTTTTTTGTT